TACGCCGGCCGGGCAGACGACGCGCACAGGCTGCAGGCGCCGCGGGGCCGGGGCGCGCTCTCCGAGGCGGGAGCGTGGGGCCGCGGGTGGCAGGACCGCGATCGGGTGGCGCCTCCTCCACCTCCTCCTCCTCCCGCGGCGGCGGCTTGTCCTCTCAGTGGTTGTCTGGACGCGATCAACAAGTCGGGGCTGAGCTTCGGCTCGGTGCTCGCTGCGATTCCGTCCCGCACTTCGGAGCGCCGGGAGTCGGGCACCCAGGCGGGACGGCGCCACCTGCGGGTCGGAAGCGCACGCGCCGCTTAACTCCTGCCTGCCCGGCGCTGGGGGCGACCAGGGGGCTTGGGTGAAGGAGATGCGCCTGTGGCCCATCCCACCTGGGCTACCTCCACAGCCTTCCTTCCTTCGTCCTGTCAGAGACGTGGGCTGAGCGCCTACTGTGTGCAACGTACTTTGATAGGCGTTGGCAATGCAGCTGTGAACCAAACAAACATCTGGCCCTCGTGGAGCTGACAGAGACAAATCATAAACAAAAAAGTACAACAAAGAGTGTGTCACAGTTGGGGGAATAAGAGGCAGGGAGCGAAATAGAGTCGGGGGAGGGCGGGCTGCAATTTCAAACAGCCTTGATCTTCCATTCTAGACGCTCAGATGGAAATCTGGAATGGAATTCTAGATTCTGGTGGGGGAGTGGAGGATGAGCACATCAACCATAAATACACAATATGCCAGTTGGTGATAACTGCGACGAAGAAAAATAAACCAGCTTGAGAGGAAGAGAGAGTGAGGGGTGAGCTAGCCCAGTGAGTCAGTCATTCGGCGACACTAGTTCAGGCTGGTTACTGAGAGCTTCTTGTGCACCAGGCCTGGGCCAGTGCCTCCCCTGGCATTCACTGTCCAGTGGAGAAGGCAGATGGGATCAAATAATCTCATAAAGGAATATAGAAGGGGTGGGTTCTACCTGGAGAGGTGGACAAGGCTTCTCTAAGGATGTGATCCTCGGGTCCTCAGTTCTCAAACACACATCTGCCGTATGATCGATGACAGGCAGATAGGTGTTGAGGACACAGTGGGGTCTCTGGGTGGTGCGAATGGTTAAGCACCCGACTCCTGACAAAAAGGTTGGCTTCTGGCATTTCAGACCTGCTTTCAAAGACCACAGCCCTGAAAACCCAAGAAGTGTGGTTCGACTCTGCAATTCCTGGGTCTCTGTGAGTCGGAACCAACTCCATGGCAGCTGGTGGGGGTGGTGTGGGGGACACAGTGGGGAGCCCTTGGCCTGGAGGAGAGGAACCAAAAACAAGCTGCAGTACCCCAGAGTGGGGCCCTTCCCTTCTCTGGCCCTTGTTCTTCATTTCTAAAATAAGGGATTCATTTCCATAGAATTGCCCATGTTGTGTTGTTGTTATGTGCCGTTGAGTCAGACCCAACTCATAGTGACCCCTCCTTGGGTTTCCGAGGCAGTATCGCTAGGGAAGTATCTTCCTTTCGAGGAGTGGCTGGTGGGTTTGAACCGCCAGCCTTCTGGTTAGCAGTCAAGTGCCTTAGCCCCTATGCTGCCAGATCTCCTTATAGAATTGCCCATACCACTATTATATTTCTTTTAATCTGTCTACTTCTCATCACCTCCATCATCAACATCCTGGTCCAAGGCACCCTCATCTCCCCCTGCAGGCTCCTCTCTGGTCTCCCTGCTCTCACCTTTGCCTCTTACGGTCCCTTCCCCCCACAGCAGCCAGCGCAGCCTTTGCATTTCATACATAGTAGATGCTCGGTGAGGAGCTCTGGTGGTATTGGAGCAGGCATTTGGCTGCTAACTAGGTCAGTGGTTCAAGCCCACCAGCTGCTCTGCAGAAGGAGGATGGGGCAATCTACTTCCATAAAGATTTACAACCTTGGAAACCCAATGGGGGGCCACTATGAGTAAGATTCCACTTGATGGCAGTCAATTTGGTTGGTTTTTTTTTTTTTTTTTTTTTTGAGAGGCTTAGTAAACATTTTGAAGGGTTCCTGTATATTTATACGTTGATATGCTCATTGTCCATCTCCCCTCACTAGGATCTACAATTCCATTCTAGAATGCAGGATCCAAGACTCAATTAAAATTGACACGACCTCTCCCTGCCCCATCCTCCCTCCCTTCCCCCTGCTTTAGGCTAAGATCTAAATGTCTGGCAGTGGGGCAGGGGTTTACGAGGCCCTGCTGCCCTGAAGCCATTCAGGGCCCCTCTCTGAGTTTGTCGGAACAGTGAGGGAAGACAGGCAACTAAAGCAGGAAGTTATTTATTTATTTATTGTGATTTGGGTGACAGTGTACAGAGCAAATTCACTTTCCATAGAGCAGTTCACACACACGTTGTCTCATGACATTGAGGCACAATTTACCCCAATGCATCAGCTCCCCTCCCACTTTCTCCCGATGGGTACCTCTTCTGTGTCCATTCCTCCACGCACTCCTGCCCCTTGAACTGTCTCCCTGTGCATAAACAGCCCTTCTTTCTTCCATGATTGTTCTCTCCAGGGAGGGTATCTACCTCAGGTAAATGTTCAATTTATATGCCTGTCTTTTGTTTGGCTGGAAGCCACAGATGCGGGTTCAATTCCAGACCTGAAGGGCAGCTAGGGACCATAGTCTCAGTGGTTCCACTAGGCTCTATCAGACCAGCAAACCTGTCCCCCTCCCTTTTTTTTCCCAAATGATTTTGAGCTTTGTTCCACATTGTTCTCCCACTCTATCCAGGATCTCCTACAGAGATCCCCCTCCAAGCAGTTGACAGTGGTAGCCAGGCACCCTCTAGTTCCTCTTGGCTCATAGTCATAGGCTGCGGATGGCATGGTGTACCAATTGCTAGGACTAATTGGTTCCATGCATCTTTGGTTTTCTTCATTCTTCTTTGCGAGAGACCCATCGTTGCATCTGGATGGCTACTTGCAAGCTTTTAAGATCCCCACCCCCCCAACCCGTCATAAAGCAGGAAGTTTTAAAGATGAGCCAATTTCAGATGGTGACGCGTGTTCTAAAGGATATGGGTATCACGCTGGGGCAGAGAGACTAGGAGAGGTCTCTCTAAGGAAGTGACATTGAGCTGAAAGAAAAGAAGGGACTAGCCATGGGAAGAGTGGGGGAAGGACATTCTAAGACAGAGAACAGCATGTGTGAAAGCCCTGGAAAGGTGGGCCGGGGCCTAGGAACAGCAAGGCAGCCAGAGAACATGGAGCAGAAAGCAGGAGGGAAAGTGGGGGAAAGTGAAGCAGTGTGTGTGTGTGGGGGGGGGAGGTGCAGATAATTCAGGGCTTGTGCACCATGGTCAGGACTTTGGCTTTTTTTTTTTT